ACGACTTCAATCGGCATGGTCTACAGCTTTTATAACTTTAAAAAGACATTGATTCAGTATATACTCAACAACAATTAAACCTATATTTGTGTTGCATTAGACCTCCCACAAATGTGTTATATATAAATCAGTAACTGTCGTGATTTCCAGTGACCCTGTTTCTTAGAATTGTACATCTTATTCTGTATTCCATAGTTGTTTTTGACATGATATATTCCGAAGTATTTATTAATTATGTTAGGCTACTCTTTGTATTAGTATATACTATTAGTATAAAGCTTTATAACAGATAAAATATCGAATAATTCAACTTTACGCAAATCTTACTTTGTCAAAAACGCTCTTATTCTAAAAAATAGTGGACGGAAATTGACATCATCAAAATACTAATACTCGAATTTTTATTGAAATATTATCATTCTTTGCTAAACGAGTTGTTCTACACGGGCAGTCCTCGAGTAATCAATGGTTTTTAAATGAAAAATTTAAAAAAGATAGATCGATTTCACCTATCTCACTGAGCTTGAAGTAAAGGACACAACAGATACACATTGGCCTGTTTTATTTGGGACATGTACCTATAAAACGACCTCTTGAACACTTATGTTTAAGACATAAGATGGCCTCAGTTTTAAATTTGTGAATTTTCCAATTTTGTTGCCATATGCAGAAGATCTTGCATATGGACTTAGAACCTCTTTACTGTAAGTTGATACAATTCCTCCGAACTAAATTTCAATCAGATATTCATGACTAAGTAGTGCTGGCCTGAACTCGTTATTAAATACTATAAATATATGACAAAATGTTAATAGCGGTATTAACAATTTCTTGTGTGTGAAATATTCTTTGATAAGCTATAATCTTTGGAAGGTCAGTTTGTCTCAGTTGACAGTACATGGGTTTTCTACCCTTTTTACTGAACAACCACGCATTCTTATTTAAGACAAATGTTAATGAAATGGTCTTGAGACAAATTTTGGGTAATTATATCGGTTGCAGTCTTTACAATTCCCGTTTAATTATAAAACACAAATCGGACAGGCAAATAATTGAGTCAATTCATCAATTGATTACTTGATAGTTTTAGAAATGAAGTATATTGATAAGCGATTTTTATGGCGAAGGGAACTGACGTTGCCCCTCACATCGCAATGAATATGTTATGAATCCCAATTTATAGTAAAGATTCATACAAATTTATCAAAACAACACTGGATAGATATTTCATCAAAATAAGCAGATATTTAGCTATGTTGTCTGTAAACATTCCAGATCTTCAAAAACTTTCAATGAACTCATTACAGAATCAAACATTAACAGTGGCCGATCTCCTTTAATAGATATTGATTTTATAATTTCTCATAGTAGTATCCATATACCAACATATGTTATTAATATGATGACTTTTCTTTTCCAATTGTTAATTTTCCTTTCGTTGATAGTTCTATTTTCTCCTTCTTATTTATATTTTAACACGTTTACGGCCTGTATACAGATTCTAAGTCGATCAAAACTATTTTAAAAAATGCATTGCTTGTCTCGGGTAAAAAAACAATATTTAAGCTCGGCTTCAGAAAACAGGGAATTTTTGATGCACTCATTTGTACCTATCAATTCGCATAGTGTATTGCACAAAAGCAAAAAATTGAATATAAATTCAAATCATATAACCAATTTGAAGTTCTTCGACTACAGTTATTCTGTGTCAGAAACCTATTATGTGTCAAAAATTTAATTACAATCCAAATTCAGACCTGTATCAAGCGTGAATATTGTGTCCATTTTGGCCCCAACTTTTTAGGGTTGGACATCTGCGGTCGTATCCAGCTGCGCTTAGCGAAGCAATTTATTTTTTTTTTGCATTAAAATTGATATCGCACTTAATATTAAATGATAGCGTTAAAACTTATCAGTATACTCAAGGTCACTTTACGTGGATGGTGTTATCTCCAAATTGATACCGTTTTGTAAATACAGAATGTAATGTCTAGGCAGATTTAAATTAATATCATGTTTCTATTCAAATAAAATATTGAACGAAACAGCTTATTTACTTTTTTTAAATATGAAATAACTAGGACATTTAATTCACCGTAATAATTCCTATAAAGTTCCTTATGATTTTTTACAAAAAAATCTACTTGTTCAAATACTTTATCAAGTTCTAAATAAATAAACAAACTTTTAAAAATATCCGATTTAAATGGGTAGTATCATTCTTTATAAATTAGATTCGCTATGTAAACCGAACGAGAACAACAGTGATCGATGTTGCAGATAAGGAGAGAGACTTCTTATGTTATTATCAAGGTCTATAAACATGTGAAAACAATATGCAACAAATACTACCTTTTCTTCTTTGTACCCCTTTATATAATACTGCTCAATACTTTAATTATGTAGTTAGTTATATTAGGCGTTATTTAATCAAATATAAAAATATTGCAGTGATTTGTGATTTATACAATGAGCTGTCCAACCGATGTCGAAAACTAGTAAAGCCATTTGAATATATTTAAACAAATAAAGAGAAAAACATTTAGGAATCGCATGAATTTTAAACGGAGCGACACAATGTTCGTAGACATGATAAACATATTTATTCTGCTGATCCAGAGTGAATATAAATAAGATGTAGTATGAGTGCCAACAAGACAACTCTCCATCCAAGTCACAATGTATAAAAAGTTAACAATTATAGGTCAAAGTACGGCCTTCAACACGGAGCCTTGGCTCACACCGAACAGCAAGCTATAAAGGGCTCCAACATGACAAGTGTAAAACAATTCAAGCAGAAAAATCAACGGTCTTATCTATAAAAAACGAGAAACGAGAAACACCTATGAACCACACCAACAAACGACAACCACTGAACAACAGGCTCAAGACTTAGGACAGGCGCATAAAAATGCATCGAAATTTCAGTTGGATTTTACTGGTAATAAGTGACTCTTATTTGTTCACAATGCTCGAAGAAAAGAGGAGTATGAACATGTATCCATGCAAATATAAGGGCTAAACTAGACGACCATGAAGTCAGCCAGTGTTATCCCTAGGGCTTATTTGAAAGTAATGGGAAAAGTATTTTGAATCGAGGAGGATTTTTGAAGATTTTTCAGTGTCGATTTTGTCATGTGACAGATTGTGATTGTATTCAGATTGTATGAGATTATAACAGGGGTGGGGTTAAATAAATTGCATGTTTGAATCCAAATTTATTTGAAAAATAATAAATTCCTCACTGATGGCAAATGAAAATTAGTAAAAATAATAAAATCAACATTTTTTATGGAACAAAGAGAGGTGGATAATGGACGATCCTCTAAATACTTAAGCGATTAGAGGATGCCACACAGTCTATAGCAATACATGGCAAACTTTAAATACCCTTGTATTCCGATTCTAAATGTGCCTCCATTCTACCCTACACAGACAATCAAAGTAGTCACAGTAACAAAACAAGAATGGATTTTTAGGGTGCATCTGAGAGACCTGTTTTTTTCTGGGAAAATACGGTCATAATTTAGCCAACCATTGTGTCATTTTTTAATATGGAACTGATGTATAATTGTATAGTTTTCAAGGATAATGACTGTCATATATAAAAATATATTTTGCGAGACCTGCAGATATTTTTTTCTCAGACAAAAAGAAAAAAATAGAGTTTCATTATCAAGTAAACAAATTCTGGTTAACTTAAAATAAAACAAAAAAAGTAATCCTTTTTTTCTTACTTGAAATGCTTTCCGATAGTATCCAGGATATAGTTTTATAAGTCAACGAATTAATAGCGCACGCTATCAGAAACCTCTACATTTTTGTTTCTTTCAATGTTATACAATCCTCAGTTCTATGATTTTCCAAGAAGCGTCCTTTATCCACAATTTTTACAAACGACAGCAGACAACTCGCCAGATAAATGAAATATCTTGGTGATAATCCACGCATTGAACGCGCATCGCCTTTTCATCAACCTTTTTGAATCATTTTTGCTTTTGGTCTTGTTATTAACAAAATGTTCTTATTCATAATACTGTCCGGCAATAAAAAATATAATATTTTATCATATATTGGTTTGTGAGAAAAAACTAGGGTGGTGCGATACTTTTTTTCCAGGTGATTAAGGACGTTAAGCAACCAACAATCAATCAATCCAGGTGATTAAATTGAAACTATAGTGCATAACTAGTAGATGTAGTATCATTGTAAAGTCATTAAAAAGTCGAAATTGAGATATTTGACGTACTATGACCATTTAACTCGTAGCTTTTGGTAGAATTAATATGAGCCACAGCACAACCAAGAAGAATACTTATGGGCTTAGATGGTCCCTCTTGTATCACCTGTCTCTTTTTTTGAACACATTTACAACCTTGTATAATGATCTTGTACTTGCAGCAAAATGTTTCCTTTTAGTAAAGCTTTGGGTGCATATCGAAATGCTAATGAACAGAGCTCAAATTGAGGCTTTTTTTTTGCGGGGGGGGGGGGGGGGGGGGGGGGGGGGGATTCTTGCAGTTTTGCTTTAATGCAACAAGTTAGAAACACAAAAATATTAACCCTGATATCTAACGGACAAATTTCATGTGAACAACTGAAGAATTTATAGTACGTTTTGTCATTCGAATTCATGTTGGATAAAAGCTGACAAACATAAATTGTTTTGTTATAAATTAGGCCGTTAGTTTTCTAAATTGATTTGTTTCATATTTTTCATGTCGGGGCCTTTTACAGCCGACAATACGGTATGGATTTTTCTCATTGTTGAAGGCTGTAATAATTGCTTACATCCACTTCATTTGAACTTCGGTGGATAGTTGTCTGCTTGGCAATCATGCCACATCTCCGGCTTATTTTTATATACCATCACGTATTATACTTCCAAGGTCAAGAAATTTGATAGATTTAAGAATTTTGAAAATAAAATGCATTGCAAGTAAACTATAGAAATTCTACACCTCATGACCTTAAAGGCCAGACAAAATAAAAGTTAACTATTTCTTGTCATAAATGATATTTTGGTACAAATAAAATAAAATGATGTATTCTTGTCATAAATGATATTTTGGGTACAAATAAAACAAAATAATGCTATACTGTTCGATATTAAGGTCCATGCGATGTTTGCTTGATCATTTATCCCTCGTACATCACTGCTGGACAACCTTTAATGCCTAGTCCAGTTACTCTAAATATCGAACCAGACAAAGGAAACTTGGATAATTCGTCTAATGTACACCCATGTCGACTACATGTTACGTACATATCGTCATACTCTTTACCACCAAAACAAACTGATGTGGTCCTTAGTCCTGGTACCTCTACTGTCTGAATTTGCTTACCTTGAAAAAAATAAACAGCTTCTATATTCAAATTTGAACAGAAATTAGTATTTTTCGAAGAAAAACAACTAACATAACAATGAAATCACACGAATATCTAAGTGTTATCTGTTTTCAGTTTTACAAAATTATTTGGAGAAAATAATGTAAAAAAATGTTTAAACGCTGTACAAACAACACAAAAATGTTAACTTGAGTTGGATGTGTACGGATTGATACTTTAAAGTTTTGACTGTGAGAACACGATTATTTATAAGCCGATATAAAGTATTGTCTGTATTGATGAGTACACTTTCGAATACTTAAAAAAAACATGAAACCAGCTTGCCGTTTTTATATATTTATTTTATTTTTTACCTCAGTATGTATTATTTTATAAAATTATAGACGAATAACTATTTTTACGAAATCGTCTGAAAAAGACTATTTACCGGTTACTAGTTTCGAAAACTACTATTGAAATAACTTGGTATGAACTATTTACTGAAAGCAAACATTTTCCCGTAGAACGACTATTTACCGGTTTCAAAAACTATTTACAGAAGCAAATATTTTCCCGTTCTTTTTGTATTATAAAACACCTATTTCGCGGAGGGAAATTGTTTGTTTTGAGGGGGACAATAACCTTGCTATCATATAACAACTGAGCAGAAACATATGCGTGGTCGAAAATGGCCATAACCGGCTTATCAATAACTCTCATTGTTTTGCTTTTTTTTTTTAACTAATTATAAAATTATTTTGTAGTTAGAATTTGTTTATGCAGACCCTTTTAACTTGTTTCTTCTTTACTGTACGTGCATAAGAAGTCTTGCTATTCGAATTACAACAAATCTTTAATAATTTAAACACAAACCTGTCTCAGGATCGTATCGTGCTACCCTTCCACCATAAAAACATGCCACCCATAATTTCCCTTCACTATCAATTGCCATACCGTCCGGATATCCTAACGTGCGTTCTGTGTCTGGTGGCAACTGTACAACGATTCTTTGATTACCTTATAATAAAATGGCATATTTTAGCATGCATATGTTATCTCATAAATGTTTCATAACTATCTTCTGACTTAGTTAAGCAAATGCAATATACTAGTATCTTTTTATATTCGTCTCTGTTTTCTGTCAGTAAATTATTTCTTTTAACAGAAACAATTCGTTCATATTTTACTAAAAAAAATCAAATTTTCCAAAAAGTGCTGACACACGATTCTATGAAAAAATGGAAAAAATTATGAATGTAGGATGATACAACATTTTGAGGCACAGAAAGAACGACACTACCGAGGCTAAAGTAAGGGAAAATCAGACAGAAAACCCACATTTCACAATCATTACATAGAAAACTAGAGCGTTAGAAACAGGAACCGATTAATAACCAGTTGTGAACAATGACCCTCCGGTAGGGTGAGCAGTTCCCGTTCCTCTGTAGACTTATTCAGTGAGTGTCAATTTCAGTGGAAAAAAGACGGACCTGTCTACTTGGATATGACAAATGGAACTAATTTGTTTAAATTTATGATACCAATACCTCATTTGAAAGAGCTATATATGTCTTTGTCACTAAGAACCCTTGGCTTAGAAGCTTCCCTTCAGGCAGCTGTCATATATAAAAGAATATCAGACAAGAAACACGAAATCTCTTTATACTGTGTCAAAATATATATTTACCATATGCAAGATGCTGTTTAAATGTCAGTTCATATCACTGGAAAGTTTTAAAATGGTTTTGTAATCAACTCTTTTGTCCTTAAGTTTAGTTTTAACCGTTCCTCATTGAATTTTCTATTTCTGTGCTGCAGATTGCCCAATAATCTCGATTAGTGAAATAACAAGATACAGAAATACGGAAAATAATCAATTCAGAAGACGATCTTAACATAAGAAAGTAGGAATTAGAAAACAAAAACACAGGTACAATTAAAAACAGTATGAAATAATATCACATCACATGATGATAAAAACATTGATAGCGAACTCAAATTATTTAAATTGCTGAAGTAAAATTCATGCTTTTCCAGACTGTAATATCAGTCGACGTGCTAACAAGATAATTTCATGCAGCAACGTCAATTAAAAGATAGTTCAGAAACAGCACAATGTTGTTACCTATTTCTTGTGCAATTTTCAAAGTAAATATTGCAAAACAATTTAATATAAAAAAAATGAACCCATGTGTCCCAGAATGGTAAGCAGTGGTGAATCGATATCAATTTTAACACACAAAGAAAGAAAAGACGCATTGATATGACAGCACGGTTTAATTATAGCCTTCTTAATGAGGTCTTTAAAAAAAACCAATTCATATGCATGTATGTTTTAAATAATATTACAAGAAAACCATGTTTTAAAACACGTTCAGTGTGTTTTCTACTTACTGGGGCTTCCACTGTCGATATCATAGTCAAAGGCATAAACACATCTTGGTGTAGAATCAATGTAATACATAGTCTTGTTGTCAGTTGACCAGGCCAAACCATTGGAAATGCTCACTTTGTCAACATGTTTCTTGATAGAACCATCAGTATTAATACAATATAACGAGCCTTGTTCCTTTTCAACAACAGCTACCTGCTTCTCAAGTCCCATTGTACCTTTAATTATAAATGATAAATTTTATTAAATAATTATAATACCGCCATTATCCAATTGTTATTGAAAAAAGGGGTCAGTACATGCACATCCAACGACGTCATACATAGTCTGAGTAAAGTATGAACTTGCTAATAGCCAAAATATAGTGGTCATAACTGCATTGTAATACATATATTTATCGAAAGCAAAATCAATGCAATTATTCAAAGATTTACAAATAGAATTAAACGGCAATTACTGGGAATTCTCTTTTTTACAGAAACATTTAAAGGCCAGAATGTACATACAATCTTCTGAAATCCAAAAAAAAATAAATGATTACTAAAAAGTTTCATTGCAAAAAACAAGCAGAATCTTCACCTTAAAATATGAAGTCCGGCCATGTGAATGTTAAAAGTTTTTACAAAAGTAAATTTCAAATACCCTTGTGCGGTTAAAATAAATGGGAGCGTTATTGACTTCACTGTGACAGACACGAACGCTGCAACTGCTCTAATTCGATTTCTTATTCCTGCGCATTCACATTTATTAATAGATATTTTCATTTTTTACAGGTATGTATTTCCTTACGAATTTATCATCTACATCGAAGTTCTAACCAAAATACAAGCTATCCATTACAGAAGATGGTAGATAGCAAAAATTTCAATAGTATTTTTCAACGTCACATTTGAATGAATTTGCCTACCTGCCCATATTCTTCCCCGTGGATCACATTTTGCGTCATTAAATCTGGTGCTTTTATCCTGATCAACTTCGTGTAAAACAGTAACTTTCTTGGTATCCCATTCAAGACGAGCGATTGTCTGTCCCAAACCAATAATTACATCCCCTTTCTTTGACGGTATGACAAATCCTATTGTCTTCTCTAGATAGTAAAACATAAGGAAATCTTTTGATAATGCTTTAATTGCAGCCTTGTGTAACAAAAATAATGATATTTTTCAATAATGCTGTACTGCTTTGTGTGAACATAAGGATATCTTTTAATAATGATTTAGGCCTACTGCTTTGTGTAAAACAATATCTTTTGATAAGGCTATACTGCTTTGTGTAAAAATAAAGGACGTTTAGCATATTAAACTATATAAATCGTAAATTGTAAGAATGAAGGATTTTTAGTATATTTAACTCTATAAATCGTTAATTGTAAGAATCAAGTCTATGTCCAGACTCATTTGTGTGTCCTTTTATCAAATTTATTTCCTATCATATTACGTCAATGATATCACAAATATATGTCAATTCTTTTCTCAAATATGTGTCCTTTTCACCAGGATATGCCTATTCCTTCATTTCGAATGTATGTCCTTTCTTGCCATGTTTATGTTCAGCTCCAAATGTTTTACTTGGTCTTATTTTTTACCAACGAAGTTGAGGTAGGACTATATAGCTGTTGCTCATTCAGTAATCTTTATAGGTTTGATAATTTTAAAAAAATAATTTTGTATTGGGTAAACATCCATAGAACAGGAGTCCATCTGTAAACACATGCAAATCTAAGATACTATACACACATGTATATAATGTAGCCAAATGGTCAAATAAATTTGAGTAAAAAGAGAGTCTACCTTTAAAAAAAGGACATTATTTCATAACAATGTATGTAAACTTACTTTCTATCAATAAGGAGATGCCAACAATATGGCTATGTTTTACTTAAATAAACGTGCATTGATTTTATTGATTACTATAGTACTTGTTTTATTAACAGAATACCAAAATATGTCAGCGGTATATTTTAAGGGAGCCTATAAAGTACGAAACGAAAAGAAACAAAAAGAAACGAAATCAACGAAAACCAAATGAAAAGAACTAAAAATTTATAGAGTAGGTTATAATAACGAAACGAAATATATACACTCTCTCCTTTTTGCATTTAAAACCTTACAATGGATTGTTGATGGGAAGCATTTGGATGATAGTGATGAAGTAGTGTTTAACGTCCAGCGCCAATTATTACATGCATATCGGAACAAGTACACGTTATGGTGTTTATGGTATAAATTTAACTTGATTTATATTTCAATCATAAGGGTTCAATGGCACCCTTCTCAATTGTACTAGCTTAATTGGCCAAAAGGACCATCTGAGCTTTTGCCATTACTTTCCATCTTTCTGTCCGTCCATTCAGGTAAAGGAGTAGGTCCGGTAAGGGCCGATTTTGGCCTCAAAATTCAAGTTCATCTGATGAAAGATTTTGGACACTTTTTAAACACTTGAGTGTCTACTTCAGTCGATTCAATCAGTTTATGTGAAAGATTTGAACTGATTTAGTCATTAAAGACGCTCAAATTCAAGCTTGAATATGAAACATCTATCAAATATGCCATAATATGTCACTTTTCAGATGGTTTTTGTCAAAAATGAAAGTGGCCGCATCCGTGTTCATTCTCAACCTTTATATATGTAATGTATTATCATCAAATACAACTTACATTTAAATATTAAGAATGAACACAAATGCGGCCACTTCAATTTCAGACGGAAACCGTCTAAAAATTAACCAAAATGCTAAAACTTCGAAGATTTCAGTAATTTAGCATGACTTAATGATGCTAGTACCCGATACATGTGCATTGTATTGTCAAAAACAGCCCATATTTATGTAACAGAAGTATTCTTATTTCCAATAAATAGCTAAAAATTTACATTTTAACAATTTTGTAAAACTGCTATATTTTGGGGCCAAAAGGGGGTCTTACTGGGCCTACTCCTTTTACACATTGTCATCTCTGGAAACGTGAACCATATTATAGCCAAACAATGGTTCTAACCGCTTGAGTGGTCACGTGGTGGCGTGCTCGCTTCAATTGCAGGAATGAAATCGCCGTTCCGATACCTGGCAATGCCGTAGTCAAACGAGAACTTGAAAATTGTTATTTTCTGCTTCCCCACTATTAGCGGTATTATGGAAGAAGAGCAACAACTTGTCTGCTCAGAGTCGGAATAATGTGTCCTGGTATGGTGAAATTAGTTTAGTCTTGCGGACTGTTTACTGGTGCAGTAACACGTATAAAAGCCGTCTCATGATGTCTGTCTTGTATAAGTCAGGGTTCATATTCAAAACACCATAACGTGTTTTCGTTCCGATATACATGTAATATCTGTCACTGGACGTTAAACATTAATTCATCGCTATCATCCAAATGCTTCTTGTTAACAATCCATTCTAAGGTTTTAAATGCAAAAGGAAAGAAGATATATATTTCAATTCGTTATTATAATATATTTGATTAATTTTGATTTGATTTCGTTTGATTTCTATTCGTTTTGTTAATTCCTTTTTCAATTTGTTTTGTTTTTGTTTTGTTTTGTTCGTTGATTTCGATTCTTTTTGTTTCGTTTCTTTTCTTTTCGTTTCGTTTGGTTTCATTTCGTTTCGCACTTAATAGGCACCCATATTTGAAAGTAATTCTTCCTAACTATATATGAATACAATTTTATCAATCAAATAATCAAAGTTCTGCCATTAACACCCAAGTATCCGTTATTTGGAGAATTTCCTTTAAAAAATCTAAAGCGAAATTTTATAAGCAATTTAGAGTTTGACATATTGTGCATCGATGGTCTATTGTTGAAGACTGTTTGGTGACCTATAGATATCTTATAATTTTATATGTCATCGGACCATATCTCAATTTATTCAAAATAATAAAAAAAAATAAGGTTTTATATCTCGTTTCGAGACAATACCCACTTTTTTTGCACTATTAATATATGCATGAATTAGACAGAAAAAGTGACGGAGGGTTTATAAATCCATAATAAATTACACGAGACATTAGCGATTCTAATGGAGCAAAGTTTGAACGAACCAACTCTCACGCTTCTAACAACCATATAAATGCACTTTTAGACGAATATATCTTAATTTAACTTTTTATTTGACGAACATCGAGTCTGATGTAGAACGCTTGACCTCATCTAGTTTCTTTGTGTATCCCTTTACTCATTCTATTTCTTATGCATTTAATTCTATGGAAATGTGTAATAATGTGAATCCTTATACATAATAATCATTACCTAATTTAATTTTTTGAACCTGTCCTGTAACTGAGTTCCATCGAGATACACTTTTATCTTCTATATCAACATAGTATAGTGTCTGTGAAGCTTCGTCCCAATGAGGTCCTTCTCCAATTGTACTGCATGCATCCTTGACTGCTACTTCTAAAGGCATTTTTAACTAACCTGCTTCCTATACACAAATTTGAAATACGTAATAATTCAGTTTAACATTTTCATTTTGAATCATTCTAGCTATCTTGGTTCATGTGGTAAATGTGCTAATTTCAATGTTTCATTGAGTTCTGTATGAGTTGATTCAGGGGAATTAAACAGTGCAACCACTGCTATAAAATGTATCAAAATAAAAATACCTACATATTTATATTAACGTATATATCTGTAATATTTTTAGTAACGTACAAAGCAATATACAATTTCTTAATTTACATGTTTTCAAAGCCCCTCCCCCAAAACTAAACCAAATGCCTCTCCCCTAGAAGTAATCATTGACCATTGAAAAAGTTATAGATCTCAATGTGTTTGTTCGTCAATTTCGTTGTTTACGTATAAAAATAAGGGGATGTGGTTTGATTACCAATAAGACAACTACCCACTGAAGTTCAAATGACGTTGATGTAAGCAAATAAAATGTAAAATAATAAACGAACAACAAATCTTGCAGACAACAACCAACGAGACCACTAAATTTCAGCTTTTTTTCCATGCGTCTGACTTGGGACAAGCTCATAAGGAAACAACTTGGATGTTGTGTGTGGAAATTATCAAAAAAAAGATAGCAAAATTATGAAAAAAATTATCGGTCAAATTACTTTGCTATTTTTACCAAATTTCTGTTTTTCGATGTGAACAATTACAGGTCATTTTATCCTGCAACAATGAGCAAATAAGCTATAAAATGCCTAGGTATGACAAAGTGTGAAAGAATTCAAAAGTCAGAGAAAACAAATGACCTAGTTTATAGTAGTGATCATTCCTTTGGTCTATGAATAGTTGTCTCATTGACAACTCCTTATTTTCATATACATTAGATTGAACTATCCTTTACTCCAAATTATCTAATAATGGAGGAGCACTTTGGAGTTAGTAAAATGAGTGTGCAGTTAGTCAACCGATGAAATAGAAACAATTTCAGTGCTAAAACTAGGATGCATCTGAGCACCGCAAGATCGTTCTTGTTTTTGAAAATGTCAAACAAGTGAATGAAGTTGGAATAAGCCGGACTCTTTCAAGAATTAACACCAAACAGTTATCAGCGTCTGGGGCCTTGGCGGTCCGAAACGCCTGACTGAATACCGCCTCCTCCACAAAAATAAGTCTATTGTACTGACACTTTGTACTTCTATTTTGCGGATATTTATTGCTATAATAATTTGGAAAGTATACAAGTTGTATTATGTCAATTTTCGATATTCAATTCCTCTCAAACCGGATCTAGGAGCCATAAGCATTACACCATGTTGAAAGCAATGCATTACTGAACAAAGTACAGAACTATATACTTACTATCTTCGTCTCTCGTGTATGCCACCTTAGTAGTACGAACGAAAATACAATGTTATCAATTGACCTAGATAACCTTTATCTGCAATATCACTATGTCAATAGATAAAGAAGATTGGTGTGTGAGTCTTAAATTCATTATTTTAGGCTAAAAACTACAGTATAGAGAATTTATATAAATATCATATATATATTAAGTAAAGGTACGAAACTCACAAGGCCTAACAAACACCTAAAATTATGATACATTGTTCAACCTTATCATTATTTTTGTTAAATCTAAATTCAAGTTAATGGTAATTACGCCACTTCTCTACTTTTATGCCACAATTTAAAAACTGCATGCTCCTATTTTCATTAACATTTTTTTTTAAAGTTCACTTTTTATATCTTTTCTACATAACAAAAAGTTTGAAACAAAAAAATCTTTTTTTCATTTCAGATTTAGTCAAATACTAGAGTATCATCTTTCAAATTTCTTTTAGTCTAAACAATTAATAGTAATTGACCTTTCTGTTGAAAATCGATAACCATGAACAAATAAATTGGATTTACCATTTTATCAGAATTAATGTTATTTTTGTAAAATTTTGTGTTATATAACTTCAACCTGGCCTTGTGCAGAAAAATATTGAAAGAAACAATTGAATTTACACAAGAAACGAATACTTTCTGCATGCACACCTACTTTATAGTATTAGCTTAAGTCATGCCAGGTATTGTCATCACTTTCTGTACACTGTCTGTAAACTTTCCACATTTTAATATTTTGCAAAACCTTTCTTGCTTACTAAAAAAAAGTTGTCCGGAGTCTTCATGTTTGAAGCTCTTTGATGCAGTTAATTTTTTTTTGGGTATGAATCTTAATTTTTGGGTCAAAGATCAAAACCCTTATGGTACTGACTTGATATATATATCTTCCAAGGTTTATCACTACCTTTGATAGTTCAGACAACATAGTGCAGCGTAGTGATCATTCTTTAGTTCCTATCTAATCAATGTCATGTAATTCATTGATGATATGTTATACCTAGATATTTAAGTTATAAAATATGATTTGTATTTGAATTACCATACTTTTAACAAAAAACTGTTTTTATCATAAATTACATAAGTACTGCATGGCGTGTGAAACTGGTATAAAAACTACAAATGTACAATCATCAACCAAGTAAGATAACTCTAACTCAAATCAATAACTAGGTAAATACAATTCAATGTTTCATTTTAAATTCACAAAATTGCCAATTGAAAGCAATCTTTACCCTTCAGCGCTCACAAGCATTTTGATTAAATAGGTAAAAGGGCCAAAAGGGTATTCTGATTACACGAAATTACAAAGATCTTCTGAAGATTTCTTGGAATACAGATTTAGAATATAATAGGAATGATCCATCGATAGTCTAAACCAAATTTTGAATTTTGTTGCTGATCAAAATTTCAAATGGCCACCACAATTGAACAAAGTTTAACATACAACTTTACATACACACACATAGCTTCATCTCAAAAACCATCTAACACATTTAAACGTTGTACTTATGATACATGTTGTACAAAGGTGATCCTTTACTTATTTCCTTTTTTGTTGCCAAACCAAAATAAAAAACGACCACTACGGTAGAACAAAATAAAACCATACGAGATATACAAACCAACAGCATCTCGGAAACCATTTCTCACATTAAAACAAAATCATGCACCTCTGGTGTTCCTCTACTTATTGGATTTTTTGGTGCCTTTTCAAAACAAAGATGGTCACCACTTTGAAACATAAGAATCATGTTAGAAATCATAAATAGCTTCTTCACAGAGACATTCATGAACAATAACCAAATATTGAATAAATGATACTATGATGATTTTGAGTGTGTTGCTAATAATCTTAAATCAAGATGCATGGCTGTCACCATGGAACACAGTATAGCGTTCAATCCTACGAAAAAGACATATAAAAAGCTCAGAAAACATCTGGTAGGGAAATACATAAACTCTCTGAAAAAACATAATTATTACTATCCACATTGATCTGTGTCCACACAATAATAATATATTCATCAAAGTTATGTACGCCGGTATGTAAACATTACTACGTGTATATTTTTATAATAAATCTACTGTTGAATGTATATAATAGGTTAAATATTTTTCATTGATTGAGTTAGAACTGACTTTTTTTTTAAATAAGGTCAATTCAAATATTTCTTGCTCTAGTTTTGACCGTTGTGTGATTGTAAGATATTGGCATTCGAGGTTGGCTTTTGATCCAGCAAAGTTTTTCCACCCTCCCACCAGACAAAATGTATTTTTCTTATGTTATTTTTTTTGTATGATTAAGAATGTGTGAATAAACTAAATTTTAAATTTTCATTCAAAATTTGTATTTGCGTACATAAAAAAACATTGTTTTTATTCTTGTATAATTACATTACATGTATGTTTCAGTATAATACGTTATTTTGATTGGCTAACAGCAATCTCGCGTCATTCTGAAATTAACCTTCATTTCAAAATGAAATGGAACATTCATGACGACACGAATTTCCACAATAAAGTGCACAGGTAAATAAAAGAAAAACTTGATAGAAATCGTGTTTTCATGATCCTAGCTAAAAAATGTAATTATAAGTATTGAATGCTTCTTTTAGCAATTTTATAGGGTTGTAAAAGCAATGACCGTGCTTCAGCGCTTCATACAAAATGTACTTCGGTCAACGCTTTTACACCCCAATAAATTTACAAAAAGAAGCATTCAATTCTTCAATAGATTTTTGTTTTGTTTGTTACCTGTAACGGCCTAGGCAGACAGTAACTGATGAAATTTATTTTGCATTAGTCATTAGTCTTCAATAAATTAAAGCTTTGCTGCACACTGTCAGGTGTTGAGTTTATTTGGTAAAAAAATATGTTCGTTTGAATTTATGAATTAGAACATAAAGATAACGTGTTTGCTGCGTACGATCGTGTATTTCTTGATAGACCTTCACCGTCAAAATGTTTTGAAAGCATATCCCTTCTCGCATTTTTCCCTGCCTCAGGACGTGGGTCGTCTTTTCCTCTACATATATCCCCCCAGCCCCGTCTAGATCCGTTGTTTTTCACCGGGGAACAGCCAGTCGTGGCAGGATTTTTTCCACAGCCGCACTTTATGTCTATAACAGATAGTCGTTTTCAACATAATTGCTAGAACCGTATAATCTAGATAAAAATCGTCGTTTCAGGACAATACTTCATATAAAGATTCAACTATCTATAGATAATGTTGGAATGGTGATTGTTTTGGCTGTTTACAATTCCTATTTTTTGGAAGCAAAACGCCGAAACTGGTAAAATTTGCTATTTAGAGACAATTACTCCTGTAAGGCGTCTGACTATTTGAATCTTAATAGATGGTAAGTATAGGTCTCGATGTTTTGATTAATTTGCTACTATCAGATTGTCTCTATCTGTCATGTTAATTTTTCAAATATCCAACGATTAACTGCAATTTACAACTATTTTATCTTTACAGCCTAAGCTGTCATGCTTATTTGAGCGGCGGGCATAATAGACACAATTTTTTTTTAAAGTTAGACACCCTTAGGATGACTGTGGCAAACTTTGGCCAAGATTGACTATTTGGCTTCAGATGAGATTTATAAAAGAATGAACTACGACGGACGACGATGACGACGACAGACACCTATTGATTGCAATAGCGCACTTGTATCAATTCATTGCAAATACCAAGAAATAAACAGCTGGTGTGATGATGTATGGGCTCGTGGATTTAAAACAGATTAATAACCGTTCTTTACATTTTGTCTAAATTATCAGTTCCCTTCATTTCAGTTATTCTTTTTCTGTTATGTTTACTAAAATGTGTTGTTTAAAACCATTTTAAGTGTTTTCCAAAGAATATCAAAGTTCAATTTGTGTATAGTTTTGTTTTATTATGAGTGTTCTTTAGTCTTTGGGGATTTTTTTTGTTCAAAAATAAATTGGTGTTTCCTGTTTTTGTTTTTTGTACAAATGCGTCTCTGTCTATTTTCAGTGTACCATTACATCAAATGTACCATTTTCGTAAGTAATAATAACAACACTGATTTTGATGCTTGAAACAATTGAGGTTCATAAAAACCCATATCAAAAATATAATGCCCATACAAACTGTTATGATCAAAATGTTTATGCGATATTTTAAGTTTTACAGAAAGCAGCGCACAGTAAGTATACAAATCTGTGCTTATAATGACTATAATGATACTAAATATTAATAAAATTAACTCGTCAATATATGGTAAACATAGTGTATTCAACTATCCTTCAAACTTAAACGGCGGATTTCCTTTGGCTCCAAGATCAGTCACTTTGAATACAGATCCAGACAATGGAAACTTTGATAACTCTTCTTCAGGGCACCCGTGTCGACTGCATGTCACGAACATCTCATCGTAATCTGTACCTCCAAAACAGCAAGATGAGGTTCTGTATGCTGGCATGTGGATTACACTTAGACGTTTACCTTTAAAGAACAGAGAGGCAAATTTATAAATCATAAACTATACAAGTAGAAAAATTCTTTGTTCACAGGGCCTCTTTAAATTCAGTATCACTAATAACCATAATTGGCTTATCAGTAATAGGTAACATTTTTTTTAACGAAAAAGGAAACAGTTTATTGAAATGTTACAAAGGTGTGCACACCATTGAGCCAGAATCACGATACAAAACAAAAAAAAATACCCCCCCCCCCCCCAAATAAAACAAAACAAAAAGGGGTGGGTGGGTAAATAATGGATTGATTAGTTTAATTTAAATATCATCAGTATTTGCCAATGAGGTATCTATCCCACGACAAAAATAACTAAAAGATATTTATAGTCTTAAATGTAATTATAAAGTGACTGTCAAAGATCTGTCATCAATACGAAATTCTCCAAGTCAACAAAATTCCTAAGTATGCGACAAAGATGACCACTGACGAGAGGTTCCTTACTGTGAAGGAACATAAAACTAGTTCATGAGAGCCATGGTTTTATAATCTATTCTCAACGTTCACCTTACTGATTTTCATATTTGATAACATTTGTATATTGAGATATTCTATCTAATTCACGCTTTAATATAAGTTCCCACTAATTAACACAACCAGCAACCACGAGTGTGCAATGCTTTGATACTGTATGTACACCGTTCTGCATGTTTCATTCCAAATTTAGCATTGAATCAAACACAATATACTAAAAAGTCATATTCTAGAAAATGGACTATCTTGGCTTTGAGCGTTCCTGATGAAGGTAAATCCAGAAAGGCGCTTCGGACGCATGAAATTATTAAACGTGTTGTTTTCAATTTTTTACATCACTGGGTCGATACCTCTGCTGGTGGACTATCAGTCTCCGAGGGTATCATCAGCTCAGTAGTCAGTACTTCGGTACTGACATGATTTATAACAAACCTTTCTTAAATTGTCCGTTGTTAAATTTTGAAATTATAAAGAAACTAAGGTTTCAACTCCCTCAGGCAAAGTTGACTTTAGATGAATTTGGCTATTTGTTTTAGGTATTTTTGTCATATAGCTCTTCAACTGTTTCGGTACTTATACATCTCTCGGATTTCAAATTTTTGGCTTTGAGCGTTCCTGATGAAGGTAAATCCAGAAAAGCGCTTCGGACGCATGAAATTATTAAACGTGTTGTTTTCAATTTTTTAGTATCGGCAACAGTAAGCAGACACTCAAGTTATACATGAAATAGTGGTCACCGTACGTTAGGCAAACAAAATAAATATATATATCTTCCAAATAACCTGATATTACTTTCGGTTATATTTAAAGGAACATCAAAATAAGAATATACATGTGTATCATGATTGCCAATGAGGCAACAATCCACCAGAGAACAAAGCACGAAAATGTAAACAATTGTATGTCACCGTATATATACGGCCTTCAACAATGAACAAAACCAATACCGTATAGTAAGCTATAAAAGGCCCCGACTTGACAAAATGTAAATCAATGATAAAATAACAAACGAAAAACAAATATGACAGCTACTGAATTACAGGCTCTTGACTTGGGACAGCTAGCACATACAGAATGTGGCGGAGTTTAACATGTTTGCGAGCGCTCACCCCCTCTTAACCTGGGACAATGTTGCAAGGGAACAACATACAACAAATTGTAAAAATCTGATAGAAACGGCTTGACTCGCCTGGTCGGCACGAAGCAAAAAAAAACCTGCCAAAATGGTTAAGACAAAAGACAAAAAAGATAAAAGACCCAAAGAACCTATCTAACAGTACTCGCAATTACTGAAAGATAGTTCAAAGTCCATAAAAACTTATAATAAAATCATATTTTCCCAGAATACAATATCATTCAGTACACATTCAATATGTTTAGCATAAAGACGTCATACAAAGTCTGAGAAAGCATGACCTTGTGCAATGTATCGACAGGGTGTAGGACCATAACTGTACATAACGATATAGCAATACATATCTAGCTATTTTGCTGTATATTAATGACAATAAACAACACAACCGTAAACATTGAGTGTGGTATCTCGTTTGATATAAGATTTCTACAGGTACAGCCAAACTTCCAAACTATGATAGACTTTAGTAAAGGTTTGAAGAAATTTGTGATAACAAAATCCCTGACTTCATAATTTAATTTAAAACGTCACTACAGACACAGGCATAGCGAACGATTTTGAAAATGTACACATCGTGAGAAGGGGCCAAAGGAATATTCGAGTCAATATGAGAAAAATAATATTAGGAAACGAAAAATCGTCCCTTTGTCGTAAATAGTTTAACGTGTGAAACTGAAATATCCAAATCTATAGAGATAATGACATTTTTTGCTGTTTATATTAGATTTTTTTGAAAAAAAGTTCGCTTTAGTGATTGTCTGCAGTATAATTAAATTGACTGTTTAATAAAGCAATCACATCATCAATAAAATGGGACATAGACAGATCTGCAATCAATTAGGTTCATAACAATAAAGAAACAAGTTGTTATGAAAGTGGTGTAATTGGTGCCTATAGGAATACATACAAGATGTCGATAAAGTTTATTGCCGAAACTTACTTAAATGTTTACAAGGAGATAATTTACAGCTTTAATCAAGCTTCAAATAATATCACAATTTCGTAGTTTTAGTTTTCATCTTTGTAAGTTGTTTACATAATATGTATATATCTTTTCATTGTGTGCTAGTTTTCGTCTTTCGGGGTTTTCTTATTTATAGTTTACTTGTTATTGTCATTTCCCTTGTTACATAGATATTGCGTCTTTAATTTCACGAATTTCTACAAACCTGTGTCAGGATCGTATTGAACAACTCGTCCACCAAAGAAACAAGCTACCCATAATTTTCCATTCGTGTCCATAGTCATACCATCAGGAACTCCTAGTATACTCTCTGTTCCTGGCTCAAATTTAACCAGTGTCCGCTGGCTGGCTATAACAGAGATATATGAGATATATAACTACTTTTAACAATAATATAATGGCATTGTTTACAATGATTGATAATTCCACACCTCAAAAACGCTTAAAGTGACAGGGTATAGGTGTGTTACAAATAATCACAAACGTAGTTTCCTTAAACACCCTTTTATTCGATTTCGACCATATACAAAATGTATCGCACGTAAAGAAATATTTGCTCATCTTTCTTGGAGCATCTTATATCTATACCAGCTTTTGATCGACGTTCCTATCCAACCCCCCCCCCCCCCCCCCATTCGGGAGTACTCATTAATATCATTCCCGCTATTACTGGGAGATGTTTTCCCAAAAATTCGTAAACGTCTTGTATGTTACCTGACTTGTCTGTTTTGTGCATTGTCCTCTAAAATTCAATGTTTAATTACCCTATAAATATAGTAAATTAGGTATCTTCTTCTATGGCGGATCGTCCGGATCACATTCAATGCAATGTTATGCACGTTCGCTACAGCAACACATTGATGTTGGTTCACGTACTCAAGAGCAACGCATGACAATTAGCTTGTGAACCTGTAAGTAACACGTAACATAATGTTCGCGTACCTCTAGGGGTCGTGTACCTTACGAAACAAATACAAAAACCGTCACCCGTATTTAACTGACTTGTGGATTTCTGCATCACTAATAATTAATGATCTATTATCTTGGTATAGGTATAACCTGAAAAAATTATTGTCAAATATTGATGTGAGTATATGAGCAACATCGAAATAACCGTCTGTTGAGAGTTTTTTTTTTATCATTTTCTAGTACAAAACCTAGTTTATAACCTAGCATTAAGCTTTCGTTTGAAATCATTCAAGAATTAATTTTATTCCACCATATAGAGTTGTCGAGTAAAGTTCAATATAACTGCCATGGCCTACCATAATTATTGTTGAACAGTCGAGTTCATCAAAACATATCTTAAGGCTTTGATTTACTTCCATCTAACAACACGAACGCCTTCAAAATGTGCAATAATTGCAATACTTTGCTCAAGCATGCTGAATCGAACTGTTTGGCGTTGCTCTAGGTATGCGAACCAACAGCAACGCGTTACTCTTGCAAACGTGTCAAAGCATTGAGACCTAAATGACCCCTCACACTTCTACATGCCATCCAGTTTTAACACGCCTGCATATTTTGTGTGTAGCCTGTATTATTTTGAACTTCTTGGGCGTATACGCACTGAAAAGGTTCAAAACATGCAAGTTTACAACAAAAATTCTCATAAAACAAGTACTTTATACCTTAGGGAGATAAATCTTAGTAGGTGAAGTGCATTGTTTTTAACAGCATATTCCAAACATTTGTTTACATGTTAAGACTTCCCTTTCAGCAAAAGGTGTTTATTTTTAACAGTTAAAAAATGAATTGTGTTTTAATTCAAAAATTTATGATACCTATACAAATTCTACTTAATTAAACTTTCTAAAACCAAATTTATTTTGAAGCTTACAAAATTTACCTTGTTTTCTTTTAAAATCTGTTCTCACTTTTTAAAATAATTATTCGGTGTGCCATGGCTCTGATAAAAGAAATACTATAACAAAGGACCAATCAAAAACACAAGGAGAAGGACAAACAACAGCCCGAGAAAACTAAAAAGAACGAAAAGACAAACAACGGCCCAGTTGACAAAAAAAGAACTGAGCAAAATTAACCACATCAAAAAGTGAAATTGATAACAGGTGTTCTGGAAGGGTACATAATTCCTGCCAAACCAGTCCCACCCGTTGTGTTGCTCATGACAAGTAAAAAATGGTGATAACTCAAATTTGATGACAGTCAAAAAACGGTTATAGGAGACGGAAATGTGGCGACGACAAATTTAACCTTCTTTATTGGACATATCTACAGAAAAGTATAAGTACAAATATATTTGTATATGTAAAGGGTGATTATTTTGTTATCTGCCTTCATTTGTATGTTTCACAAGATTTTTAACTCATCCAATCAATATACAGATAAAACAAATTAGAATGTTTAAAATATTTCTAATTGTACTGTATCAAACAGTCCAATGATTTCCAAAACAGTTAATCATCAATGGAACGATAAGAAAAAACATGTATTTTTACTAGTTTCAATAATTTTACTAAGACATATTATGAATGTAAACATCTTTATGATACCAAACAATAGAGTACATTCTTTTTTTTTAATTAAGACACATTTGGCATGCAGATATACAATTAAGGCAAATAAAAACTTTCAATCTTGATGTCCATAATCTAACAACAAATAATGAACTACAAATACATATCAAAGTATACAAAATGTACTTTCAAAACATCATAAAACAAAAAAATAAAACTCATAATCTTTATTGTCTTTGTACATACACCCCTGTGGTAGACTATATTGATTGATTGTTGTTTGCTTAACGCCCAGTGGCAACTATTTCATGAGTGGTAGACTATAAGATAGTTATATGTTGTTATTATTTGTATTTGTCACAAGTATCATGTTTTACTTATATGACAATAAAGAATTATTATTTATAATATTATAACTTACAATCTAGTTAAAACACTATATATTATGTTGATATAATCTCTTTCCAGCAGTAAAATGAATGATATTCAAGTATTATCTTTCCAAAAAATCATGATTGATATACCAGTTGTTACTTACTAATAGTTCCACTGTTTATGTCATAGTCGAATACAAAAATACATCTTGGGATGGAGTCGATGAAGTACATGGACTTGTTGTCAGCTGACCAAGCTAACCCATTAGCACAGTCCAGGTTTTCTAAATGCTTCTTGACAGACCCGTCCGTGTCGAATGAATACAAAGAACCTTGACCTTTCTCTATTATACCTGGTGTATTTTCCATTCCTACCGTACCTATAATGAATGGTTGTGATTTTAAATTGTTCTTCAACACTATGTCATATATGATAAACCATTTGTGATTAAGTATACACCCGTTATGAGAGGTAGACTAATAGAATCTGAACAAATTGGTATACTTTACTGCATAAATTTCATGAAAATGTTTCATGTAGTTTTGGTTTAATTTAACACGAGAAAGTCTCCAACATGATATTTGCATAAATTATATCAACGTTTTTGAATAAACAAATTGTAGTTAAATATGTTTTGGGTAAAGATGTTGCTCATATCTAAATATTAACAGAAAGATATTAAACTGAGGCCATTTGGAATTTTTGCCTCAAAAGCAAGTTTTGAAAAACTGAAGCCAATATGGTATTTCAATATATATATCTATAGATTTGATTCCTGATATCGAAAAAAAGTAATGTTTTGTAAACATGTGCAAGATGCACTTTGTTAGATTTATAAATTACATGCGATATAAATACTTGATTTTGCCTTTATTTTATGTTGAACCTGATCAATTACTAGTACTTACCAGCCCATAACCGACCACGGGCATCACATTTTCCATCATTAAATCTGGTCGGTTTATTCTGATCCACTTCATGTAAAACAGTGACTTTCTTGCTGTCCCATTCCAGACGAGAGATTGTTTGTCCCAAACCAATTATAACATCACCCTTTTTTGACGGTATCACAAATCCTATTGTTTTGTCTGTAAATATAATTGTAAAACATTTATTATGTATATTTATCGTTTTTAATATTATACATTTACAGTCTAAAATAGTGAGCATGATTTTCCATAAAATGAATTCTTACAATTTAAAATATAATCACTTACATCTTACCCCAAAAAACAGCCGTTTTGGTCTTTGGGTTACTGTCTCATTTTTGAATATCCTGGATCACCTCTATAATTCTTAATAAAACATTTCGTACTTGATTAGCTATTTCTAACCTTTAGATTATTCATACAGAGTTTTCCCTCTTTAAAGTAAAAAAATACCATGCCTTTTTCTTTTCACAAACCGATTTTAATAAAAAAAAAACAAAAAAAAAAAACATCTTAACATATAATATTTTAGCACATGGAAAGATCGGTCGTGTTGAGTCAACAACTTGGAAATCGACCCAAAAATTACAAATTCATAAAAACTGCTCATTGGGTAAACTTTTCCTTGAACATACAGTACTTTGACACACAGCAATTCATGGCATACCTAGTGTGATCTTCTGCACTTCCTTTGTAACGGAGTTCCAGCGAAAAACACTGTTGGCATATATGTCTACATAAAACAGAGTGTTGGTAGCTTCGTCCCAGTGTGGACCTTCTCCTACTGTAACACAGGCATCTTTCACTATAATTTCTACGGGCATCTCTTTCCCTGTAATGCAGTAATAACTTATATTATGAATGTTACAGATCTGAAAATGTAATGCACATGGTAAATTTTGACGTGTTAACACTTTAACGACTCGGAAGTTACTTTGACATTCATGCTATAATATGCATGAAATAGTTTCCACTGGACGTTAAGCATACATCAATAAACCAATCATTACATCTATTTGTTTTTATGCTTTGTGTCTTAGATTGCTTTTAATAGCTTTTTTTTTTCTCGTATACGGGATCAGTAATTTGCACTATCTTCTCTGCTCGTAACATTGAGACTCTAAATGTTGCTCTAAGCATTTGCCTTTGTGGTGATAAATATATTTTGACCTTATGAATTGCAATGTATATGTAAAAACCAATGTCATTCGAATATGTCAAATGGATCAAAAAGGATCTTAAAATTGAAAAAAGACGCATACGAGAAAGGAAAATGTAACAAAATAAATACACGAAGGCACTTAGCATAATAAAATATGAGGAGATATTTTTCAACCGATTTCAAGTTTTGTTTTGTTTTGTGTGTTTAATCGGCGGGTGACATCCACAGACACTTGTCACTGAAAAAATATATACCTATATACTTTAATGTTATATTAAAGTATATAGATTAGATTGATAGAAAAAACAGAGACACCGTATATGGCTTCATGACAGACTAAGGGTTTAATTACTTTTGACGATTATTAGTCTTTATTTTTTTAACAGCGACGTAAACAAAACTCATCAGAGATATATAGATTCCATCACTACATCAAGTGTGTTACGATATTTCTCCACTCGAGACAGTTACAACTTTTCATATTTAAAGCGCGAGGCTTGCCGAGCTTTTTAAATAATTAAAATTTAACTGTTGAGAGTGGAGAAATATCGTAATACACGAGTTATAGTGGTGGAATCTGTTTCTCTTATGATTTTTAGACGATATCTAAACAAAGTTTATCCTTCCTTTTCAAAGATTTGCAGAAAGTTGTGTTCTTTATATGTGACGTCATCAGGCATGGTCGCCTTTTTTCATGACGTCACAATAGGAAATTCAGAAGAAACCAAGAAAATTTGACATCATAGATAAATTTCGACCAATCATTTGCCGAGAACAAAATTTTCTCTAGAGATGAGAAATCTTTTTCTCACGCTGATCAAGAAATGTGAAAAAAGCATGAAAGTTAGAGAAATCAAAAGACTCACCACTGGCACTCGAATCAAAAAAGTCAAAAGGCCAATATCAATAACGAAGTTGAAGAGGTTTGAGGACGAACGACTCGGAAAGATTTTGCCAAATACAGCTAAGGTAATCTGTTCCTGGGATAGATAGAACAATTCAAAGTTTTGTTAAAGATTAATTTATAGATATGAACATACCAATGATATCAGTCAGGTCTACACAGAAGTATTGACTACTTGGCTGGTGAAATGATCGGGGAAGAATCATTCTAAAAAGTTTAAAAGTTAAAAGTGTTAAAGAGTTTAAAATGCATCATGGCTCAAATTGTACAACCAAAAAGTATTGAGTTTTCACATTTTCTACTTTATTGACAGTGACGGTCATTTGAATGACAGACTGTGTGTCTGGTTGTACTCTACTCTAAGGGTTTTCCAAACACTCATTAGGCAAACAAGTGCTATCATATTTTAATTGTATCTTCCCATTTTTTGCCCCACTTAACAGTACTTCAGTCTGACAGATATCAGTTATAATATAATCAAACCCCTAATCTGTATGACGTCATGTGATCTATATCAGTCATTTTTGCAATGGTGTATCAAACAACTTATCAGTATTGCGTCATGTCACGACCTAACGTTAAAACATCTATTTGAGTATATAATATTTTGTGTATGAAATTATATTGTTGTCTCGGGTTGATACGAATTTGATATTGAAAAGGCCATATGATTTTCTCTATCTATTTGACGTATTTTCGATAAACCTTTAGACTTTAACGTGACAAAACGACCTCTTTTTGAGATATATATGTTGCCACATGTCTTGTTGAAAGATGTTGGTGTAAAAAAGAGAGGCGAAAGATACAAAATGGTCATTCAAACTCGTTAGTCGAAAACAAACTAACAACGCCCTGGCAAAAAAAAATCATAAACGACAAAATGACAAATAACTGTTTACAAAACACAACATAGAAAACTAAAGACTGATGAAACAAAAACCCCACCAAAACCCGGGGGTGATTACAGGTGCTCAGGAAGGGTAAGTAGATCCTGCTCGTCGTATTACTCACGTAAGTACGAGGTGACTTTTATCTTAAAGATTATCGTATATCAAAGAAAATCTCAAGGACAGTTTGTGTACTTGTTTGTATTATTAATAATATCGTCGTAACAAATAACAATGGCGGTACGATATAGTCAACTTCACTGGCATAATGGCAAAAATTAGTACCAAGTGTAAGAGCTTTCTGTTGAATGGTCTCAGAGGAGTTGCATTCACATGGTGTTATTGTCAAAATACTCCGAATAATAATTAAAGTCCCATAACTCCCGTAAATATGGTGGGATCAACATGTTGGTACAATATAGTCAACTTCGCTTAATGGCTACCAAATCCTACCAAATATATGACAGCTTTCTGTCGAACGATCTCAAAAGAGTTGCAATTGTAAGGTGTTATTGTAACAATAGTCTAAAAAATAATCAAAGTCCCATAACTCCTGTAAAAATGTTCGAATCTTAATGGCAGTACAATATGGTCAACAACATATGATGGCAAACAATTCTACCAAGTATGAGAGCTTTCTGTTTAACTGACTCAGAGGAGTTGCATTCCCACAAGGTGGTATTGCCACAATACTCCAAAAAATCGTCAAAGTTCCATAACTCCTGTAAATATTGTTGGATCAACATTCTGGATTAATATGGTTACTTCACATATGTGACAGTTGATGGCTTCCAAACCTACCATATATATATGTATGTATGAGAGCTTTCAGTCAAATGGTCTTAGAGGAGTTGGGTTCAGAAGGTGTTATACTACTAAAATCAAATATTGAAAGTGCTATAACTTCCGTAAATATTATCAAATTAAAATGACGGTATAAAATGATCAGCTACACAAAATGGCAAACAATCCTACAAAGTATGAGAGAGTTACGGTCACAGTGTGTTATTGTTACAATGCAAAAAAAAAAAATATAGTCGAAGTCCCATAACTCCTGTAATGATAGTTTCAGAATGGCGGTACGATATGGTCAACTACACATGATGGCAAACAATTCTCTGAAGTATGAGAGCTTTCTGTTATATGAACTCGGTGAAATTGCGTTTACACTATGTCATTGTTACATGGTCAAAGTCAAATAATTCCCGTAAACGTTGTCAAATAAAACTGACGGTATAGCATGGTTAAGAGATGAAGTCGACAAATCACCATACCAAGTATGAAAGCTTTATATCAAACGGTCTTTAAGAATTGATGTTTTCGGACGGACGGACGGACAGAGATCATTACCATATCCCTGAGGCGCTACGCGCGGGGGACAATTAAAATTAATAATTTGGAATACTGTATAACTGCCGTTTACCCAACATTTCCTTTTACACATACAATGTATACAGTTTAAACTTGAAATCTGTTGACAAACAAACATCGGCATTGGTATTTCAAAATAAATGTACAGATTAAAATTAAAATATTATTAACAGAGAATTTCTTTTTTATTATCCGCTACTAACTTGTTAATGTCTTCCTGAGTAGAAAAAGCCTTCGGTTATGTTCTCAGTATATGACACCTCGCATGCACTTAGTAATATTCCACATGTCTTGACAGTTTTATTTATATCTTTATGGAAATATTGTTAAAATAAAAGTGGTAAACACTATTTTTTAATGGACTGCTCGACAATTATTTTCACTTAATGCGTGTACATACTGTGAAAAGAGGGCGGAAAGTTTTTTCTAAACAAATCTATGATAAATGCTGAAATATCTCTCCTGTATTATAATTGAATTAAATGTTGAAATTGTCTTACTACGTGTACCAACCATGATTATGAACTCGAAAACTAAAGACATGTTTCTTCCTCAAGTGATTTAAAATATCTATATATTCATTATGACCAAGGAGGTCAACATATATTTACAGTGACAACCCCCCCCCCCCCCCAAAAAAAAAAGAAGACAATATAGCTTCTGACAATTTTAGCTACATACGGTTTGTTTTCACCAACCCTCAATAAAGCTTTGCCCTGTAGTTGCAGGTGAACTTGATTTTTTAATTGGCTAATCAGACTCAAAGATTGCCTCTGGGGATCATAATTTTCATCTGATGGACACCAAATAAGAATCATTTGTTAAAGACCATCCATACCTATCCTCCCTTGAATGCTTGTTAAAATTGCCAAAGTAGTTCTAGATGAAAGAGGCATAAAAATGTAATTTCCCTTATGGTTCCAATGGGAACTGTGCACACAAATGCTGTAATATTTGTCACCTAATTACAACTGATGTAACATTAAAAGAGGACCGTCTGTACAAGGTCAACCAACTGAAGTTTCTAAAAATTTCGCCTTGTAGTTTCAGGGGAAAATACTTTCAAAATTGGCCTATAGGTATCAAAGATTGCCTTTGGAGGCCATGATCATTTGTAAAGGACCTTCAATGCACCATTATAACAAATTTTTTGTTAAAATTATCCGGGCGAGTAAATTCCGAGAAGAAGATGAAACTATCATTTTTCCATGCATATAGTTTCAATGAGCATCATGTGAAATTTTTGCCGTCATGTTTGCCAACCGATCAACAATAAACGAGGATCATTTGTAGAGTTGTTTCCAACCATCAATCTCATCAATCTTATATTGTTTCGTAACATTTTGCTTTGTAGTTCGGTAAGATTTGAAAAGTGGTCAATTTAAGGCAAAGATTGGCAGGCAATTTTCCTTTGGCGGCCACTGTTTTCATCCGACGATCAGTATCAACTGTGATTTTTTTTTATGAAAGACCTTGCGTTATTTATGCCTGCCAAATAGTTTTAGATGAGACGATGAAAATGTATTTTTTTTAACAACGGACGGTCGA